CAACTCCAGAGAGAGAGAGAGAGAGAGAGAGAGAGAGAGAGAGAGAGAGAGAGAGAGAGAGAGAGAGAGAGCCCCCTCACCTCCTCCAACATGAGATGCAGGCTCTCCTCCACGGGACAAGGGTCCTGCTTCAGGCACGGCCGCCACTTGGCCCGGCTGGCCGGAGCCTCTGAGTTCGAATCCTCGTCGGACGAGTTGGCCACCACCAGGGCGTCCCAGTCGGCCCGCTGGTCGTCAGCGGCGCTGTACGGGTGACACGAGAACCGCTGCTGCTTCAGACGCTGCCTCTTCTCCGGCCTGTACTCACCCACCTCCTCCTCTTCCTCGCTGCTGCTGCTGCTTCCGATACAGATCTGGTCCTCCGTGCTCGTCCCCGGGCCCGCACCCAAACCCACGACGGGGGGAGGAGGATGACCCTGACCTTGACCCTGAACTCCTCGCTGTGGATTTTGACCTTGACCTTGCGGACTACTACTATCGTCGCTGTTGCGCCCGTCGGCAGAGGGTTGGTTCGTGTCTTCCAGATCAACACTCACAATGCTGCAGTCGCCCCCTGCAGCTTTCACAGCCTTAGACTCAGTCACATCATCATTATCATCATCATCCTCACCATTTTTATCACCATCATCATCATCATCATCACCATCAGCGCCATTACCGTCACCAAATTTCAAGCTCCGTCTGATCGTGGAATCCGCCTCCTTCTTCGTCTCACTACCGCTCGCTGTTTTCTCACCGCGAGGACAACTGCTACTACTTTCAGTCTCCGACGCAGATAGCCCGGACAATTCTGCTCCTTTCTCTCTCTCTTCTCTCACACCACCGTCATCTACACAACCACTACCACCACCACCACCAGACGCCAACCGCTCCACACCACCACCAGACGCCAACCGCTCCACACCACCACCACCACCATCACGTCGCGCACTCGACTCACAAGCAGCAACAACACCCTCATCTCCATCTCTCCCCGATTTCGAACCACCAGAGGCACTAACCGAAGACGACGGAGAGGAACAACTGCCCAGGTTGGGGGCAACTTCCCCGCTTTTGTCCGATTCACAAACCGCGTCCGCTTTCTCATTCAGGAGGCTGGCATTGCCTGATTGCGCTTCCTCTGCGCCACCCACAGCATTCTTCCCGACCCGGTCTTCCTCCGAACCCCCCGCGACCCCCACCAACCTACCCCCCGACGAATTTCCTTCGCTTAGTTTCGCTTTTTTCACCTCGTCTTTAACCGGACAGCCATCCATGGGAGATTTTCTTTTCCCTGAGTGATGAACATCCTCCTCTTTCACTCCCTCATCCATATTCTCCTCCTCCTCCTTCTTTTTCTTGCCATTCTCCTCTTTTTCACTACCCTCCTCTTTCTTCTTACTCTCTCCATCCTTCCCCCTCTCACCCTCCGTCTTTCCCACCGACTCTGAGATCTCATTTGTCTCGGGACCAGACGTGACAGAAGTGTCTTTGTCCGTATCACCTTTCACAGAAGTATCCATGTCTGTATCACCTTCCACAGAAATATCCCTGCCCGTGATACCTTTCCCAGAGGTATCCCTATCCGTGACACCCTTGGACGGAGTATCGCTGGTCAGATCCACCATATCCACGTCTTCCACACTGACAGGATTGGCCCATGAAGTGCCCTCGGAGAACAGGTGAGGCATTTTCGAGCGCACGTACTCGAACCTGGAGCCCAACACTGATAACTGCGACGGGGAGAGGAGATCCGTGACACGGGTGTGCACATCCGCCGAGATTCCCGGAATGGATTCCTTCAGGAGGACGAATTTGAGAATGAGCGACTCCCTCTGCAGCGATATGTCTTGGAGAGAGAGGTAGTCGAAGAGCTTCTCTTGGAACGACAGGAGTAGCGTTTCCCGATCGTCTTCGGCCGCAGAGTCCAGCCGCGCCAGGAGACGGGACAAGACTCGCAGTTTCTGCTCCGAGATCTCGTCCAACTTTTCCGGATCATTCATCTCCTCGCACGACAAAACGGCGCCGACCGCCAGCAGATATCGCTGCAGGTCGATCAAACTGAGTGACGGCTGTCGCTTAGAGGAGCCGGAAAACGGCGAGCGTTTTCCGACCTCCTTCGACGAGCGACTCTGAAGTTTCGACGGCGGCGTCTTGTTGGGGTGGTAAATGAAGTGTTTTGAAACACCGGCACTTCCTGGGAGGGTTTGGAACCCAGCTGTGGTGGAGGCAGACGCGGCGGAGGAGGAGGCGGAGGAGGAGGGGAGGATAGTGTTGGAGGAGGGGGCGGGGGCGGTGGAGCGGGAGGAGGGGGGTGCTCTGTTCATGAGCAGCATCTTGGCCGTGTTGAGACAAGGCAGGGGTTTGACTCTCTGTTTGATCACGGCTCCCTGAGAACTCGGGTTGGGCAGCAGAGACTTGATGGGCGGGAACACTCGTTCGTACACTCTGCTCGAAGAAGTAGCCGGAGCAGCAGCAGTACCACCGCCGCCACGTTGTTGTTGCTGCTGTTGGTGGTGGTGGTGGGGCATCTTCCCGCTACCGCCCCCACCACCCACTTCCTTCCCTTTCTCCTGGACCGACATGGCGGTGGGCAGGTGGGAGGGGTCGCCGCTGTAGTTGAAGTGAACCACATGGCCCCAGGTTCGGAACCCGACGGAGGCCTGCACGTACGTGGGCTGCTCCGTGATGCTGCTCATGAACTGAACGGTTCGCGTGTCGATCGCTGAGCTTGTCGACCCGGAGCCCTGGCCGGCCGAAGGCTGCGACAGGAACCGGTGCAGTTTCTTGGGCTCGGCAGACTCCGACTCGATGCAGATGACATCATCGCTGTCGTTGGACGAGTCGTCGTCCACAGCGGCCACGACCATGGACATCCCGTTGCCGTGACGACCGTCGCCAGCCACATTTTCCAACGAGTCATCATCTCCTTCGCTCTCTGTCATCGGCAAAGAAATCTGCCGCGAGTTCGAGGGACTCATACTGTTCCTCTCACCCCCATTTTGGATCCAACGAGCGGAGGAAGTAGACGCACCACTTTCCGAACCTCTGCCGCCTTTGTCCGGAGTGACAGAGTTGAAGCAAATTCCGTTGGACTTTTTCTCTCGGTCATCTACATCTCTCTCCCTGCACGGCGACTTCCCGTCTTGACCTTGACCCTTTCCGCTGACCCCCGCATCCTCCGTCTGCTTCGCCTCAACCACCTTACGGGATTCGAACCCACCCCCATCAGTAGACAGCTCACCACCTCCCGATGAAGAGGACTTACTAGAGCTGCTGCCATTCACTTTCCCCTCACCGTCGTTTTCCGACCCGTCCTTCACCTTGCTGCTTCGGTCAGTATCCCCCGATGAACGTATGACTGACACGCTACTCTTCTCCTCTTTCGTATCATCATCATTATCATCACCTCCTCCCTTGCTTGTATCTCCCTTCCCTCCACTCTTCCTCTCTCCCTCCTCCTTAGCTGCACCACCGCCACCATCACCACCACTATCATCATCTTTAACAACACCATCACCTTCACAACCTTTCACACCACCTTTATCATCAGCAGCAACACCACTACCACGACCTACATCATCAGCAACACCCTCCCTACCACCACCACCATCTTTCTCGTCAGCACCAACATCCTTACCACCACCATCTTTATCGGCAGTAGCAACAGCAACATCACCCTTGACTTTCTTATCCGTGTCACCGCCCTCACTCTCATCCACCGCAGCTCCACCCGACCTTGACCCTCCTCTACCTCCCTCATCCTCTTCCATGCCGCGTTGAATCGAGTTGTCCTCAGTCTCCATCTTTCTTTCTCTCCCTCCTACCTCACCCGGCGAAACCTCTGTTTTCTCAGCGACGCGTACATCCAATGCTTTCACATCTTCTCCAGTTGCTTCCTCTTTCTCTTCACCCTCTTTCCCAAAGGACGAGGACGAGGATGAAGAAATACCCTCCTTCTTTCCATCTCTCAGCGAACCAGACTCCACTGTGGTCTTCTCCACTCCCCAAAAGTCTGCGTCGCCAGCCTCCTCATCACTCCAACCACCTCCTCTTGGCTCCTTCTTCTTCCCCACCCCTTCCTCATCATTCTCCTTATCCTTCTTCCTCTTCCCATCCCCTCCTCCTCTACTCTCTTGCTCCCCCTCCTCACTCTTCCCAGGACTATCCTCCTCCTCCTCATCTTCTTCATCATCACTATCCAAAATCACAACAGCATCTTCATCATCATCATCGTCATCATCCTCCTCGTCATCATCGGCCCCTCCAACTGCCCTCCTCCCCCCAGACTTTGTAGGGCTATCGTCATCCAAAGTGATCACCTCCCCTTCTTTGAAGTTCCGACCGGGAAAATTGACGGCGTACAACTGCCGCAGCATTCTAAGCTCAGAGCTGCGAATGTTCCGAAACTTGCGCTCTAGGTCGGCCATGCTGTACGGAACCTCCATGAAAGTCGCAATCTGCTCGCTGGACAAGATGGCTACCTGCGAGAGGAGGGACACCAGCTGGTGCAGGGGTAGCGTCGACAAATCCGTCACCGAGAACAAATCCACCCGCGGCCCACCGGGATCGAACCCCCGCTCCAGGCCGCCGGCCCCCAGGAAGTAGTCGTCGCCTTCATCTTCCGCGTTGTCATCATCGTCGTCTTCCTCGTCTTCGTCGCTCGAGTCCACCAGACACTGCTGCTGCTCCTCGTGGTACGAGATCTCGTTGAACTGCGAGGTCCGCCCTTCCTGCAGAGCTTTGTAGCGGCAGTGAGCCAGGTACCTGAAAGGGGGGAACAACATCGTCCTTGTAACGGAACAATTGGTTGCTTTTAAAGGACAAGCGGGCTAACCCACATTTCCGGAGTTTCCAGAAATCTCGACCTTCACCAAAGGTGGGCACAGCCCTACCTATTGGAGAAGTTAGGTTTCATAGATGTGTATATTTGTTTGGGTTTGAAGAAAACTCTCCTTGCCTTTTAAAGAAACCGAACAAGGGTACAAAAACTTTACCTTCCATTTTCTAAAAAAACCAGCATTTTCCGGGATAGTCCCCTTGTGCTTAAAAGAGACCAATTCTGAGACTGTTTCAGAGTGCTATCGGTTCTGCTGGGGTAGTACTATGTGTCACGACACAGTGGAATCAGGTGCTCGTCAATTTTTGGGCATGTGGAGTCATTGGTATCATCTAAAAGCTTGCTCGTTGTCTTGCTTTTGGTGGGAAAAAAAAATACCCCTCTATCTTGAATATATGTCGAGATATTTGCCATTGATGAAGGAGACTTTGGAACACTCAGAAAGTTTCCCAGCTTCCTGGGAAGCACACAGTGCAGGTGGTCAATTAAGCCGATAGATAATAATAATAATAATAATAATAAAAGAGAGCATTTGTATAGCACAAATACCCGCTCAACAGTAAGCTCTATGCACTTTACAATCTATTTATTACCCCCAGCAAACCTGACAGCTTTCTGAAACAATCTCCACTTCCTGGGAAGCATACAGTGCAAGCTAACATACTGACAAGACCTTTCACCGTCTAAGACTGGGTAACCATTCCCACCTGGGTGAAGTGAGGAGAATCAATTGTGTACACTGTCTTTTCCAAGGACACAACGTCGGGCCCGAGGCTCAAACTTCATGTCTATTTACTAATATATGATAGTACTAAGAAATTGTAACTCTAGCACATGTACCCTTCTATTCATGATGATAATAATAAAATAATAATAATAGATAGCATTTGTATAGCGCATATCCCCGCTCAACAGCAGGCTCTATGCGCTTTACACTATATTATTACCCCAGCAGACCATAGAACACTCCGAAACATTCTCAGCTTCCCGGGAAGCATACAGTGCAAGCAGCCGATGAAGCGCTCAAACACTAACAAACTGACAAGATCTTTCGCTGTCTGCAGCCGGGTACCCATTCCCACCTGGGTGAAGTGAGGAAAATTCGTGTAAAGTGCCTTTCCCAAGGACACAACGGCGGACCCTTGACGGGATTCGAACCCACGACCTTACAGTTGCGAGTCCGAGAGCCTAACCACTAGGCCACCGACGCCACATGATGGTACTCGTACTAAATTACAAAGTACAAGCATATACAACCGTTTGTTCATGATTGTATTTAGAACTTTTAACTCATACGTGTTCCTTTGTTCATGATTGATAAGCAGTTCTAACTCTTCCACACATACGTCCTTTTGCTCATAATAGTACCAGTACAAAATATGACAAAGTAGCACATACGTCCTTTTGTTCATCACAGGAGCCAGCATCGTGTTGAAGGTCACGCCGTCTCCCTGCGAGGCAGACGTCGAGCTCGGCACTCTCAGGTTGACCTTCTGCTTACGCTGGGCAAAACAAGGCTCGCTGCGAGAGAGAGTGCCCTTGCCAAAAAAACCCTGGGAGGGAGAAAGAAGAAAAAACTAAAATTTCTTCAGAAGCACAAACAACATTTATGGGAAGATGGTACGCTCAAGCACATTCAAATATAAAAAAATTTTGCAGAATGAGGAAATCATTAACTTGAGCACATATTTTGCTATGTGTATGTGGTTTAAACACAAAGAATATGGTACATCATGTCATGTATAAAAGAAAATATTTGGGACCCGAAAGTTTGTTCGCTGTTGTGTGATGTATTACCTGATGTGCGTGCTCGACTGTCATTATTATTTTAAAATATTGATGTGTATTTCATTTAAGTTTATCAATACTGAGCACATCATTATATTGGATCGTGTATTTTGTTTGTCAATAATATACAGACTAGTGGTGTAGCAGTTAAGTGCTTCGCTCTCACACTCAGGAGACCCGAGTTCGATTTAAAAGTTTTTTTGAGTATCTTGGTCTTCCTGCTGGGATGTTGTATCCCTCTCACCCCCTGTTGACCCCTGTTGATCCCAACAGGCCAGGCAGGGTTGGAAACCCGCCTCCTAAATGATTTAAATTGTGTCCCTGGGGGCAGTAAATCGGGGCAAGGTTTTCGAGATAAAACTGGAGTTTGTAAAGCAGAGGCAGCCAGAGAAGCAAGAAAACCAGGGCAGTCATTAGTCAGTCAGATCCTGACATTGACTATGACGGCCCATAGACCACAAGTGCTCTGTTTAGTTGTTTTTTATTAGTATTAGTAGGTTTTACGGCGCTCGCAACTGCATAAGGTCATATATGAGTGCCAGAAGATTAGAGGCGTTACAAGAGAGTAACAAACATAAAACAAGGAGGGGAGATAAAGAAGACAGACGTTTGATAGGAAAGAAGAAGCAAACCACACAAGAGCACCCGCAAACCACCCACAGTGCTCTGTTTGTGAAAAAACATCTAAATCAACTTCAAGTGTATGTGCAGGACTAGCCTATATTATTCCTTTGTCGTGCTCATCATGTAAACCTTTCCACTTTTCCCTGTCCCCGGATAGCCTCTTGATGGAATTCCTTCAAGTCTTCCCTCTGTCACACAAAATTGAAAATTGCACCTCCCCTCGACATCCAACTGTACAAGCCGAAGGAAAATGTAAAGTAAAGATTATGATGAGATTTAGTAGATTTTCGTTATAACTGTAAAATACTGAGCACTGCTGTGAGCCAGCTGAACTGATGTGCCATATACTATTATCATACAACCCAAAAAAAAAGTTGAAAATTATATTTTTTTAAAAATAAAAAATTCACCATTTTGTACAAGAAATCCATGTCCCCCGAGTGTCGCACCACCACGGTGGCGCCCTCTATGAAGCCCGTGTAGTAGAACCAGGTCTGTGCCGAGGGCTCCTCCCCCGTCTCTGTTGCCACGGGAACAGGGAAGGGAGGCTCTTTCTTCACGTGCCATCGCGGCTTTTTACGTTTCTGGGCTTCTTGCCTGCTTCTCCGCATTTTGTCCTGGCTGCAGAGAGAATTTTTTTTAAATTGGGTCAAAGCAAATGAATAGAGAAAAAGTGTACGGGTCACAATGAGATCAGGTGCTTATCAATTTTGGGGCATGAGTTTTTGGCATTATCTTTATCTTCAACCATCAATTTGTGTCAACAGATGAATATTTTTTGAAACACCTGAGAACTGTTTTCTAAAAAAGATTCCTTTACAAATCTATTTTGACATAGCCTACTAAAAATTCCAAGTCAATGGTTTCTAGACTTCAAAAGAGTTCTAAAGGCTAGTTGACCTTGTGAGCTGGGACAAAAGTACTTTTGAAAAGCAAGTCCTTCCTAATACTTCTATCGCAACTCTGCAAATAGAACTCATATGTTTCTTCAAAGACAAAATTGTGGAAATACATGATTAAAATTAAGATACGAGACAAACTGATACAAACTGCTGTGAAAAGTGTGAGTGACATTGTTGATTGATTCGGTTGTTCTTGTTAAAGATTTTAAAGAAATATTTGAGGATGTTGCACCACCAATTTTTGACAACACAGATAGATTAGATCATCTACTAGACTCTAGATTATTTGAATATAGATGATAGATCTAGTGTCAGTGACAGTGAGTGTGAGTTGACAAGTCTTGTCTGTGCAACTGGTGCAACACTTCTTTACTCTCTCCCAACCATGGAACTTCCACAATTAACAACAGTCATAATTCACAAATCAAGACAAAGCCATAGCAAGTACAGCTAGCAGTCTTACTTTGCATTACTCATCATATGACAACGGCATATGATAACAAACTAGATCTAGATCTAGAATCTAGATCTAGAGTCTAGATCTAGATCTAGATTTAGTGCAAGAATTACCTAACTCAATCTCGAACAAGAACTAAAACTAAAAACTGCTCTAAAACGAAAACAACAGACAGAGCTCTGAGACTAGCAGAGGGTTGGCTAAATCAACTTGCCTAAATTCTAAATCTACATGTAATCATCGTTTGTTGACATAAAGCATTCGCACTCGTCTTTTCTTCTATTGTATGTACCTGCTTAAAAGTAAAACAATACTGCAACCAATTCTAGAAGAGCGTACAAGGTACACAACGGTTTAGGATATCACTTGCATGGACGCCTCAAATTCCGCCGACCATTTTTATTTCTGTGGGAACACTTTTTCATGTAACTTCCGGTCGGTAATTTGCCAGGTTTTCAGTCACATTGCGGGGGAAATTTTGTTTTACTTGACAAACTTTACTTCTTTTTTTTTTTAAGTAGATGTTTTTACATCCATATCGACACAAATTAGATAATGCAGGAAGTAGATTTCCCGACCCTGCTTGTCAGGACCAGCACGAGCTGACATGGATGTAACAGACCGAGATAGTTGATAAATCCACTCGTGGGTCGAATTCGGGTCTCCTGCGTGCGACTGCGAAGAGCCTAACCACTCCACCACAAACATCGGAACTTCGGTTTGTTTCTTAGCGTAAAAAAGAAGCATGACAACCAAGGAGGTTTTAGTGAGAAGCCTTTGTTGTAAACTTAATAACAGGAATTTTCCGCAGGGTTACAGAAAGAAAGACAGACAGAAATGACAGGGTAAGAAAGAAATGTTTTGTTTTAGAAGAGAGCGCTCGCAACTGCATGGCATAATGTCATATGAGCGCAAAGGGGTGGATGTCAACTGACAGAGACAGTCCTTACAGGGAAGCAGCCTCTAACTCTGCTCACCCCTCTAGCTTCAAACAGCACAAAGTCTGCTTCGGCTATCAATCATTTAAGGCACCTCGGAAATAACAGGTCACAAGAGTGTGACAAACATACATGCACAAAAGAAGTAGAGGAAAAATGACAATAGTAAGGATTAGGAAAGAAAAAAACAGCAGTTCCCTGTTGCAGTTCAGGCTCTGTTATAAAGCATGACACTGATGAATGAGCCGATTTACAATTACAATTTTACTGTGCATAAAAACTCGAGATGTTAATGC